GTTTGGATTATAAACGCCGCTATATTTCAATATCTTGTGGCGTTTACTCTCCAAACGCCGCTAAAAACGCCGCTATAGAACACTTTTGTTGTAGTGACATTTATGAACCAACAATTGGTTTCACATTTTCCTCAACAATATTTGGATCAATTTCTCATTCAAAGCTCCAACATTATATAATTTTTCCAACATATTTCAGGGTGAGCACATATCTATTAATAACAAAAAAAATTCTTATGGGATGAGTACAAATAAAATTTCAGTATAGGCACCTTCAGTAAAATAAACAAATCACATAAATAAATTCGGATTTTAGGGTACACACGTAATCTCAATCTCATTCAATCCAACCACCAAGGAACGATGGCTCAACCATATTCAATTCAACCACCAAAATATTCCCTCTATGTATTATTAAAACCTTCGACTTCATGTATTATATACATTGAACCTTGTCGTCGTCGTCGTCTCGGTGAAAGAAGTATGGAAGCAAACCTCCCACATGGAACACAAACCCTCAACATTACTCACTCCTCCGAACAGGTATATACTGTGAATATTAGTATTTAGGGTTTGATTCTGTCTTTAAATCTGAAAAGTTTTAAGCATTCCATTAATCAATAACATGACTATTAGTATTTAGGGTTTAGATATTAATATTTATAACTTCATCATTGTTGTACCTCTTTTGGGTCCCTTCCACGAGTCTCATTTTCATTGTCATTTCCCAGCCTATCAAAATCTTTGGTTCTTCACCGATCAAAGCCTAGAGTAAGAGTTCTCCGAAAGAACTCCTCCACTAAACCGAGCCTTTGGGATTTCATATCTTTCGACCTGTTAGTATCTCGACACGATCACTTATAGACTCATATGTGATCCTATAAAATCAAATCTACTATCTGAAAATCGTATCTATTTGTTATGTCAGCATAAGATCATCATCATGACCCTATATCTTACACCAACACTAAGGGTTAAAATATAAATCACCAAGCATGACGAGAGAGGGAGGCCTGAATTATCTTTTCTTCTCTTCATCCATATACTGCTCGAGTGCTCGTCGTCTCAAGTTTACCCTTCTACATAGAATCGTCGGTTACAATTCTACGTCCAAATAAAAAAAAGATTTAGTCTAAAATCATTACATCCAAATTTACCATCCACTGTCCCTATAATCAAATTTACGTATAAAAGCTTTGATCATCATCTAGGGTTACAACTACGAAGGAGCCTTTTTTTTCATAAACGATGTAAGATATAAGAAGGGATTAATAATTCTAGACATAAACTCTTCATATTTTCCAAACAAACAGATAAATATTACAGACAGGTAACAGGTTTGTCGTATGGTTTTGCAGGAAATGAGATGTTAGGTGCACGTGGAACATTCATTTGAGCAAGAACACCAAGGCATGGACCATAACATGAAGGTACCGAACAACGAGGTTGACCAAAACCTCGCCCTCAGATCTTAACTAAACCAGGTCTAGGGTGGCGGTACTTTCAATATTCTAAACTAATTGGTCCATAAATAATCTCTAGTTTGATTCTTGTAAACCAAACATTAGGCGAAAGTATTATTTATGTACTTGATCCCATAAATGATCTCTAGTTTGATTTGTCTGCAACTCCCATTTTTTAAATTTTGGACAAAATATTGTTGTTTTGAGTGTGATGACAGATTTAGATTTAACCTGGGTGGATGCACTAAGCCTCTTAGGGCCAATTTCATCCCAATTATTAAAAAAAGTAAAATTTAGTTTAATATGTTAAGGAAAAATGGAAAAAATAAAATTATGCATACCCTATTTTTAAAAAATATATATTAAAATTTTAGACCTCATTTTTTTTAATTTCTGGATCCGCCAATAAGATTTAACCACATGGCTTCACTTGTAATGGAACATAATTATAACTGGAATAGTTCCTATAATGTACTTAATGATATTTTGAATCTTAATTTTTTTTAAAAGATATTTTTTATTTTTATCAACTAATGAAAAAAAGTAATGGATTTTTAATAAATGTTATCTATTTTTTAATATTTTTTCAATTTTCCCGATTTTTCAATTTTTTCATTTTTAATGCCTTAAATATTATATATATGTGTGTATGTTTTTTAATATTGCATAGTTTTAAAATATTTTTACTATTTTCAAATGTCTTTTGAACTTTCTAAAATTTTGCATTAAAGGAAAAAATAACTATTCTAATAAATTTAATTATAATGTATATTAATATAGATGACTATTTTAATAAAAATAAATAAATTTAATTATAATATAATCATGGATAGTTCAATGAGGGGACAAGTGTGGTAGTTGTCCTCGTGAAAATTTAAAATTATTATATATTTTAGATTTTTTATGTATTTTATATTGAAAATATGTTTTTGTCACATTAAAATTTTATAAGTTCATCTATTCTTAAAATTTTAGAATTTCACATACTTAACATAAAATCTTACGTTCGTTCATGATTATAATAAATGTTATAATATATTTTAACCTTAAATCCTTAATTTTTTAAAATATTAAATAAAGTGCTTGACAGTAAAATCACTAGTAAAAATAAAATTAGTAGGGTTAAAAAATAGTATTCTAAATATATAATATAATTAATATATGTTATAAAACCAGTGTGTAACAATAATAATATAAAAATGTAAGTTGGTGTTATAAGTAAAAATAAATAAATAATATATATATAAGAATTTCACACGCATATATGTAAATAAAAATAGAGTTAAAACATTAATATGTTTAAAATTGATGTTATAAGAAAAAAACTGTATGTATATAAACCTTTTATTATTTATTATAAAAATAATAACAACAGTTACAAAAACTGAAAAATATAATTATATGTATAATTGTTCCGATTCTTATATCTTCTTTTACGAATTAAATAAATATAATTAGAAGATTATATTTACACTTAATTGAAAAAGTATATTGTTTTTACGTCGAATTACAATAAGATTTAGTTACACAATAAATGTCTATAGATTTAAGAATAATGAATATTAAGCCCTGCAGTGGTGGATTTAGAAAAAATTAAGTCAGCACACATATATTAATAATATAAAATTTTTAACACGATAAAATTTCATGGTAGACATCATAAAATTTCAAGGTAGAGACACATATATTAATAAAGAAAACTTTAAATTTTAAAGAAGAAAATTCGAATTCTAAACAATTTCATAATAGACACGTGTCCACCCTAACATTAATATGCGTCATTGAAGCCATGCAGTATGACATATGTCATAGGGGTGTTCAAAAATACCCGACCCGATTGACTAGACTCGACAACCAGACTGTTCGAATTAAAATATTGGGTATTTTTATAAAAAAAAACCCGACCCGACATTTTCTATGTCGGGCTCTGGTCATAAAATTCCATTTTTCCGGTTACCCGAATACCCAGTTATAATTATTTTTTATATATATTATAATATTACATATTTAATTATTAATAATTTTATATATTAAATTAAACTAATAAAATTAAAAAATAAACCCACTCACCTAATAATTGTATGTTTAATAATTAATATAATATTTTTTAATAATGTAAGTTTTATATTTAAAAAAATTAATAATTTTAAAAAAAATAAAAATTAGATACCCGATTACCCGAATTACGGGTACCCGTAAAATTCAGGTATTTAGAACAACATCGGGATCGAGACACAAATCAAAAAATCTAATATCCAAAGATCCGGTACCTGAAATCAATTACGCGGATTTTAACACCCCTAATATGTCATTGGTAGGGATGGGCATGGGTCGGGTTGGGTCGGATTTTTGGTCCATCAGACCCGACCAGAGAAGAAGGGGACCTCCACCCGTGACCCGACAAAATTAATTTTTCACTCGACCCGACCCGATAGATAGTTTAAAAAACCCGACCCGAAATAATAATAAAATTATTTTTATTCAATAAAAACAGTGACTAAATTAAAAAAACATAATATATGGAGGTGTATTATTGTAATTATTCTTAAATATATAGGGTAAAATTATATATATTTTTCGGGTCAGATCGGCTTTTTTTCACCCTAAACCCGAACCAACCACCACATAAAAAACCCGACCCGATCGGGTCGGAACCCGTCGGGTCGGAACCCGTTGGGTCGGAACCCGTCGGGTCGGAACCCGTCGGGTTCGAGTTAGATGCTCATCCCTAGTCATTGGTGGATAGCTGGCTTCCCGAGGAACAGAAAAATTTGCACGCTCTACTTCCCAATCCATCATTCATATTTTCTGTTTGGTGAGTTAATTATAACTACTTTACCTTGTGATTAGTAATTTGATAATAAATAATATTAGTTTACGTGCCATAAATATAATATTTTATACAAAAGTTAACTGTGTTAAATTTGAGATAAATTAAATTAAAAAATCACTTTTTTATCATTGAACTTTCGAAAATTTTATATTACAATGATTTATATTATTGATTTATCATGAAATGATCACTCAAATTTTATCTCTCGTTATACTAAAAAATTCTTATAATTAAAAGACTATTTACATAATTTATCTTAAAATTTATTAAATCAAGATTGTAGGAGTAATAGAGATTATAAACAATAAATTCAATCATAAATTTCATACAAATATAATTATAGATACTACAGTAATATATTATATAAGTCATCGTAGTTAACTTGTTTAAGCCATTATTTTTTAATGAAATAGGAGAATAATGCACTAACAAGAAAGAAAGGAAAAAAAAAAACAGATAGAGAATAATATAATTACTCGATTCAAATCACTTGAAAAGCGACACATAAGTTGATTTAGTTCATCATTTGATTCGTTGGCGGCGTCATTGGGGCTACAGTATGTTGTTTCGTTAAATTTCCGTGATGTCCTGTAAAAAAGTAATCATTATACATATGTATGTATGGTCATGGCAGACTATTAGATGTGATTAATGTGTGTTTTGCAGATAATAATGTATAAACATACATATAAATATTTTGTGACTTAGGTGGAGTTTGTTTGTAAGAAGAAGAAAAATATACCAAGAGCAGGGTTGATCCCTCGGTTGTTGAGTTCTCGATATTCTTGACAGAGAGCACAATGTTCAAGCACGGAGTGAATAACTCGATCCGAGGCCGGCGCCTCTACCAACCCAAACCGCTGCCGGAGCTTTTTCCGGTAGGGTCCGGACACCACACACGGTGCAAAGGCATAAACAATCCCACTAGTGGCACAAGCTGCATGCATATTTATATTAGTAGCTCAAATCATCAGTCAAAAGAGCAATCCAAGTGGTTTAAAATTAAAATATCGAAGTTTTAGTTTATACTATTACTTGTGTTCCCGTTGTCAAGTACATCTGCTATCTGCCCAAACGTCACACAAGGAAATACGGCCGTGATAAGAGCTGCATGCAACCAAATCACACAAATTTTCCCGTAAAAAAGTGATTGAATGACGATCGATATAATGTGATTACAAAGGCGACTCACCGTTGGTTGGATCATCCATGCAATCAAAGAGCCCGGTGGTCCAAGGGACATTGTGAACCGGTTTTGTTAGCCGCAAAGGCATCGGCCGATGTTGCACGGGCGTTCCGACGGATAATCCTCCCTGTAATGAACCGTTTGTGGGAACAACATTAGGGTGGCTCTGTGGCATTGGCGACATTGGACTGGTTGTATGGTACGGTGGAGCCTGTACAACATTAACACTATTTTGAGGCTGCGGATAAACTACGGCGGCTTGATGCTGTTGTGACGGCGGTGGATAAGGATGATAGGCGGCTTGAGGCTGAGGATATTGGAACTGAGATTGGGATTCCATCGGCAGCCTTCCCATTTTCGACTCGGTTAGTGTCTAGGTCTTCTCTTTGTGTCTAAATTATAGGAGATATGAGTTCCGGCGTGGTTGACTTAAGGGCTTAATCAACATGGTTTCATTTAGTTGACTTGTGATGACAGAAAGTAAAATCCTCGCTGGCTTTGTTAGCTATCTTAATCAAGTTAATTATACTAATAATCTTGCACTAAGAACCCCAATATTTCAGTAATAAAATAGCTTTAGTTGACTTTCATACATTGATTCTATATCAACCTACCAACTAGTTATTGAATATTATTTTACATTCTTGAATTTTGATGACAACCACTCTTTAATATTTATAACCATTTAAACAATAGGGAGACTAGGCTTATTTTGGTGGCAAAAATCAAGTGTCTATGTGATAAAATAATTATTATTATTCATTGAGGATCTAATTCGAGCACCATATATGACATAAATGTGAGTGTCTAATATCAAAAAATTAACAATTATCTTTGAACGTATACTACCATGTAATTACCTCAATTAATATATATATATATATATATAAAGTTTATTTCGGTGTGATTCTTCTTCTCATGGCCCAAAGTCAATGACCAATTATAAAGGCCAAACTGCCGACAATTTATATCCTTAATTCCCAAAGGCCCCTTCCAAGACAGATACAATTACGGCCTTTTGGTGCCTATGATTGTTAGGACTAACCCTCTATTTGTAATTTCCTTACTCTTGGCACCATACAAATACAAAAGAGATTATACGGTCAAGGTTTGAATATTTAGATGGTTGACTTTTTCAATTGGTATTACATTTATAAACTTATAACAACTAATACCCAATCAGTGGATTTGTTATTAAAAAAATCTTAAATTGAATGAATATGGATTTTTATAAGTGTTTATTATATCTTTATATATATACATATATATTTTGAATTATTACATCTAAGGCTCATACACGTGTATTGTTGTCCTTGTTTGACTTGGTTCGTATTTCTCTCTTTAACATGTAATTATTCATGTTTTCTTTTTTTATGTTGTTTTTTGTAATTTTTATTTCTTTGGAAGATTCATGCTTTTTCTTTTCTTTTATTTTGATTCTTACTATTATTAGTCCCTATTTTTCTTTTTCTTTTTATTCTTAGCACTAAGATTGTCGGTAATTGCTCAAAACTTTAACAAATTTATTGACATCCACTAATGATTTTTGGGTGTCAAAAAAATTACCCAACAAAGAACGACGACAATTTTTTTTTTCAAAATAATTTAGTGTAAAGTACACAAATGGTCTTCTGGCTATAGAGTATTGGTCTATCGACTATTAAAAGTTATAAAATAGTCCTTCGACTATAGAATGTTGCTTTGTTGAGTCCCTCGATTATTAAAGGTTACAAAATGATCACTCGACTATTCATTATGCTTCAAACTCGTCCTTTTCTATTAAAAATTGACGGTTGTCTAAGTTGAACGTTAACATTATGACTAAGGTATGATAGTCGTTTGAGATCCTGTTAAATATAATTTGTGTACGTAGTCCAATAATTTATTTATCTAATTAAATTATCGACATCCTTTTAAATATAATTTTATTATTATAATTATTTTTTTAGTAAGCTAAGGTGATTACAAGGTAGTATATGTTCTAAATACTCTTAACCATTTGACAGTGAACGCTCAATCACCCTGCTGCAGTCGCTGGTTCTCGAACCCGTGACCTATAGAAACAACAACGATTCCTTTAAACACTGAGGTAAGTTGGTTCGTGCTATTGTTATTATTGTTATTGTTATTATTATTGTTGTTGTTGTTGTTGTTGTTTGATAGAAAATCGCTACTTTGATTAAAAATAGAAAATATCCAAAATTATAATGAAAATTTACAAGCGCAACCATAAATCTAAAATATAATTATGACATTTCATAGATAACATAAAGACCAAAGAAGAAAAAAGTTATAAAAACATAATCAAAAAACTCGAATAAAATAAATATTCGAACAAATTTGACTGCATCGGTAAACGAATCACAAAAGGTGATGAAGCAACTGAAAGACTACCAACAAATTGCAAATCAGAGTCAAGCGACGTGAGAAAACTATCGACGAACGCAAAACGCGTATCCAAATCAATCCGAGGGTCCAAAGCATGGAAGATCATGATGATAACAAATAAGCACAATCTTAATCAGTCGTGGCGATGTCAAATCCAACCCTAAAAAAAATAAACAAAAAAAACGGTAAAAAACAGTAAGTTATCAAAAGGTAGAGAACAACATGCCACAAAGACATAGATAAATGTATCATAAAGGCAGATAACATGTCATAAAGATATAATTATTCTTATTAAAATACTAAAAAAATAAAGAAAAAAGATAATCGGCGGGCGGCAACCAATATTAAAGTCGGTGTCGCTGCCGGTTAAACAAAAATAAAGAAAAAAAATTAGATTCATCAATAAAATTGACACAAATTGTAAAGAAGGAAAAAAAAAGTAAAACATATATTATTATTATTATTTAAAATTATAATTGTATTAATTTAAACATGATTCAACCCAAACATGCTGATTATTATTATATAGAATCTTTCACATTGGATAGAAAGGTTACTTATTATAGATGTCCCGAGGTTTGCATATGGGGGCCATGCAAATTCTTCGCATCATCTCTAAAGATCCTTCTGTTTATAGCCTTGATTAAAACCCCGTCATCGTATTTGCCCAGCTATCAAAAACCCTAAAAATCCCTCAGATTTCAACACAGAAATCTAGTTATCAAGGAAGGTTCCCATAATAGGGTACGATTAATGAATCAATTTCGTTGGATTTGAAAGTTGGAGGTCAGTTTTAATCAGATGAGAAGGAACAGAACCAGGGTGTCGAAGCATCTCAAACGGTGAATATCAGGGGCCATAATTTTCTCTTTCAGCTAACCGGTTCCGCATATTAATTTAGCCTCTTGTTAAACCATGTTTCTGTTTGCAGTTTACGTATTAATTGGTTCCACGTATCTGCAGTTTCATCACCATTTCTATAGAACAACCGATTGTCCAATTCCTGGATTGAAAAGAAAAACCAAGATCCCGAAAGGGGAGAAAACACTCCTTCGATCATATGTTGTTGTTTGGAGCAAGAAGCCGGAATGATGCTTCATAGAACCGAAGCTGAAATCCCAGTTTTCAGACCAGACCAAGAAACATCTCCGTCTCGAGCATACATGAAGCCATTGCCCGAAGGATTGTGGACAACCGGTATTTACGAGTGTTACAGAGACGTTTACAATTGTAATTCAAACAAAATTTTCCATAAAAATTTATTTTACCCTTTGTTTCGATTGATGTTCTTAATTTGATGTCGTGTTCCGTTTGGTGTTCTTGTTGAAGGTTTTTTCACCTGTATGCAGTGTTTTGCAAACCGGACCGGACCGGCCGGTTCAACCGGGAATCGTTGTCTAGTCTGGTTCAATTTAGATCGGTTGAACCACTATTAGTGAACCGGCCGAAACCGCTAAACCGTTCAAACCGGACCGGCTGAAAACTGGGAAAAACCGAAAAAAACCGCCAATTTTGTTTTTTTTTTAAATTAAATCAAACGACGTCGTTTGTTAAACGAGCTAAGTCGAACTCGAGTATTGCTGAGCTCGACTCGAACTTGAAAATTTTAAAAGTAAGCTCAACTCGACTCAAACTCACGAGCTAAAAATTATCAAGTTCAACTCGAACTCGAAATATAATATTGAAACTTGAACTCGAAAAGGCTTGAACTCAAAAAAAAATTAGAAGCTCGATTGAAGCCTAAAATTAGAGCTTGATTGAAGTGAAAGAATAGTTCACTCAATGCTCACCAAAAGGCTCCATAATTTTGAATGTCAAATTACCTCTATTATTTATAGAAGTTAGTTGGATGATCTTCTATGTTTCTTAGCTATGTGAGATTGTTTTAAAAAAAATTAAACCAAACAATATCATTTTGTTATGATTTTTTTAGCCCCAAATTTATTTTTTAATTATAGTTATATAATTATATTTATTATTTAATATGTTTTACCTTAAATATTATGTTGTAGTTAATTTGAATCATTTTGTTTCACTTGATTTTATGATTTTTAACTTATATATGTTATGACTTGCTTTGAATATGAATTGTGATATAAAAAATTATTTTTTATTAAATATTTTTGGAATTTTTATTTAATTTTTTAAATAATTATGACGTCGTCCGGTTCTTTCGACCGGTCGGACCGGTTCGACGGGTTGAACCAGTAGCATAGCCGGTTCGCTAACCGGTCCGATTTTGAAAACCATGCCCGTATGTGTCCTTGCATCACCATGGGACAAAATTCCGAGGTTATCAATAGAGGAGAAATAGGTAAGCAACCTCTTTTTTTGCTGATCAAGTTTTGGAATTTTTGATGCAATAAAATGTAGGATGTCTTTTCTTATTATAAGTTGCATGAGCAGCATGCAGATCGGCCAGCCTCCTCCACCTTTGCCACAAGGGTCGTGCTATTCGGATGGATATTCAGGTCGAAAAATGGGATAAAGCTGAGGGAGCATTTCTCGTTGTCGGAGACGCCGTTGCCGGATTGGGTGGCTCACCTTTTGTGCATGTGGACTCTTTGTCAAGAGCACCGGGAACTCCGAGCTCACGTAGACGACCCCTCCTTAGGTAACTAATGACAATGCCACATTGCTTAATTACCCTTAATCTAACACAAAATTCTTATCAATTTCAGCCCAAAACACTAATTAATTATCCTTATTTCTCAATTTAATTCTTAATAGGTTGGGAGGGCAACTTGGCTAAGTGGATGACAGATGGAGTGACAACTCCCATTGTAGTACCACGCATGGTAAAATAATTCAATGGCATAGTTCAATTAGTGGATTTACACGTCAAATTAGATAGTTCAATTAGCGGTTTTATCATAAAAAATAAATATTATTTATAAAATTAGTTAAAAATATATTTGTATCGTATAATGGTATTCAGCTAACCATGTATATAATTCCCATTCGACTAGTGTTTTGTGGCATGAAATTCCCATTCAATTACTACGTTTATTTTGATTTGATTTATGGTATAATAATAAACTTAGTCCTTGATGTTTATTTCATGATTTAATTGCTGTAACCTTTGATCTTGAAAGCAGAACACTTGCAAGCATTGAACTATCCAAGTTAGCATTACACTTGAGGTGATTACAACATTGTCAAAGTATTCATAATATAGAGCCTCAAATGTGAAATTACACTACCTACCTACAATCACAACAAATTCCTCAGATCCTAACTTAATATACAACACTCTTCTAAATTACTCCCATTTCTTTAGGCAGATGTACCAAACTGTAAGCATTAAAGAAATGGAAATGAGCTTTCATGGAATGAAAGAAAATCAGTTTCTAGGGCGGGCTAACCATAAAGAGCTAAGTGCTCGAAGCCTAGAAGTGTAATCGCTAATGACTAGAAGTGCCTGGGCTGCTTGTCGAGTGGTTAAAATTCGATGCATCTGTTGTAAAGTTTGCTGTCTCAAAAGGTCAGCCTGTATATCAAAATGACTAGTAAATGACACTGATAAGCACTTAATTTCACGGATACAGGACAGACGGACGGGCGATACCATGTTGTTTACCTGGTAAAGAAAGTTCTCCAATGTGGCAAGCTTTCCCATTGCAATCGCCATCTGGCCCATGTAGTCCGCAATGTTTCCGGAAGCAGTCGGACCTAAACATGCAGACGAAAGGGTGTCTACTAGAGATTGTTGCAGAGCTTCCATTCCTTGTGATAAGGCGTCTTCAGCCTGTTGAGAAGACTGCTGCAGATTACATAATCCCATTAACTGCTGGTCCGTCAAAGGCTCGAGGTGGTTTCCGAGGATCTACAAGTTTCAAGATCAAAATGTCATCAACCAAAGCAGATATTTCTCAAATGCATCACGTTAATAGTACCAAAATTATCCGGTAGTTAATCACCTTGAGAAGTTCGGATGAACGGAATCCTCCCAACCACATAAAACACCTCTCTGCAGGCGTTTTCCACATACCAGAGAGCATGTGAAATACATCTGCCTTGGTGCCAAAGCTTTTTAACCTGAAAACTTCATCATAATGCGCCATGACACCCCCAACAAGAATGCATAATTCATTATCCCCCATATGAGAATTTACAGCTGATCTTAGGTCATTTATCAGCCGTTGATGTTCATCGACCCAGCAACCATATTCCATGTCAAACACTAGAGCCGCTGGAAGCATGACAGAGTAAGAATTATATACAGTAATAGGTGAACCAGAATTCAACAATATGCCTCTAGCAATATTATGAAGCATTTAGATGTATGAATGAAAAATTAGTTAACAGTATCTAAAATCTCCTCACCATTTCCCATGACCGAATGACCATGGTCCCCAGAAAGTCCGGTCGTGATAAAAGCCCCCTGCATTAGAGTGGAAGACAATAAGGAACAAAAATACTTTGGTTTAAACACCAATGATAAAGATGACACGAATACATTTTCATACCTGCTGCCGTGCCCTTTGAAGCTCTTGCTCGAGCTCTGTAAGCCTAAGTCGACTACTCTCAAGTTGCTGGACATACGCCTGTCAAAAAGACAAAACCCATCAATGATCCAAACATGCTTCATTTGTCCAGCATAGGTAAGAACTAATAAAGAAACAAAATACACATTACTTTTTTCCTCAATCTACTCTTCCTTGCCGCTTCTCGGTTCTGAGCAAGCCTGCGAAGCATCTGAAGTGGCAAACAAGAATGAACTCACAAAGATGTCAATCATTAAAACGGATTTACACAACTCAGCAGTGTTTAACAACCTTTTGATCACCACATTTTGACTTAGACTGGTCCACCAAATCCATCATTACAGGTCCATGTTGAAGTCCATTAAGCTATAAACGCCATTAAGAATCAGCAACCACTAATCACAAGATAATTACTATTTCACCAAAGCCAAACAAGAACTCTAATTTAAGCAGCTATTCATTATCATAAACAACCATGCTTATCTACCCTAAAGATGTTTCCAGTGCAATTTTACATGATCAAAGGAAAGAAAAGATACAAAACCTGGGTTTTATGGTCAGTGTCAACATCAGTAGAAGTGTCAGTCTGCTGGCTATTATCGGCAAGGCCAGAGTCAGCCCAATTTTCAATATGTCCATTCCCCAACGAAGAACCAAATGCTTCTCCCTTCTGGTACATGAACTGCCCTGTATCCAAACACCCGGTTCCACTGGAAACTATCTCGGTTGCACCAATGCTCTGCAGGGAAAGCAAAACCATTTGCAAAATAACATCAAAACTATACGAAATATGCAGAAAAAAAGGCTATGACTTACGTTGAAAGAGTGAAGTTGGTAGAAGGGTTGAGTACCGTGTTCAAGGCGCCATAGTGTATGTTATTAGCGACAACACCAACATTGCTGGATTTTAAACTAAAAGCGGAGCCTACGAGTAAGCATATAAACGAAGAGAGTAGTTTAGAAAAAAGGAGTTAAAAAACATTTTTATTAAGATATAAGGAAAAAATGAATACTTGGGCTTAAATCAACGGCATCATCGTGATGAAAAGCAACAGCTGGGTGATCAAGCTCTCCAAGATCCAGGAAACGTGCCTGGTGACGGCTATTACAATCGTCCCCCCTGTTTTGATTGAAACAATCAGAACAACAATGCATGTTTCTTTCTCTGCACTCCAACAGAACATTAAAAAAAGCAGCCACCTTTGTTTCATTTCTTTTCTTCAGATACTCATACAATCATTGCCTTGTAATCAAAGACATGTAGTTCCAAAACACCACACCAAAAGAACCCAAAACCATGACTTTAAGTGAAAGTAAATATACCTGAGAAAAAAAGAAGAGTGGCAAAACATGTCCGGGTTAGTTGTTGTTGCTGCAGCTTTGAAGCTCTGCATTCTCTTTTCTTTTTTCCTCGTTTACTATAAAGAGAGAGGCTGTTGCGTTCCAAAGAAAGGAAGGCAGAGAGAGAGAAAGACAAAGAAGCTGGAGTAAAAATCCTTAGGGGAAGGAGCTTTAATGGAGGAAAGGAAGGGATATCGTATCAGTTTTAAGAAACACAACAGACTTTTTTATTATTACGTTTTCAGAGTAGGGATTTTAGCTTCCCAATAACCCCACCTACTGTTGTTTTTGCCAGCATCATTTCCTCATTCTCTACCTGCTGAGCGTTTGTTCCACCCTCCCTTTCTTTTACTGTAAAAAATACTTAACTCTTACATGTTATATAAGGCTTTGATTTCGTAATGAATAGTACCCCATGCATTTCTTTTGTTCATATTTAGCACGCACGAGTGAGTAACAAAGAAGCCCACTGCCGAAGACAAAACCCTCCTTCCTCCCAAAGGCCAAAAACCTTTTTGTCTTTCTCCTAGCTCTCTCTGCTTCTGAGCAGAGAGGAAGTATATGTACACTGCTACTGCCTTGTTTTAGTAACTAGGAGCTTAGGGTTGGATTCTTTTTTTTTTTCCTTCTATTATTTTATTCCCCCACTCTCTCTGCTCCTAGTAGCTCCCTGGGAAAGAGTGTCTTTGCGCCTTAATGATGTGACGCTGATGAGATGTCATCTATTAATTTTCCTCCCCTAGCAGTACGTCTTCTTCGCCTTTGCTTTCTGAAATGGAAAAAATATTAATGAACATGGAGCTTTTGACTCATTTAAAAGACATTTTTATAAATAAAAAATTACCAAAATATTATATCTCGACACATTTTCTTTAATTATTATCGAATTAATATATTTTCTAACAAAAAAACATTAATTATGAAGTGTGTATTCACGAGATGGATTATAAGGTGCGCATTTACGAGGTTTTGTTTGAATTGATGTTATATTAGAAGATATGATCATAAAATATATACTCGTAAGAAAATCTGACACGTATAAGAAGATGTGTATCATGAGGCATATTTTCTTTTAATCACCTTGAATTATTACGTGTTTCATTATTACACAAGCCTTAAATATTGACTATTCACTCATCCTCTCTCCTATAAATATCCTCAAATGTAAACATCAAACCACACAAAAATAATAACTATATCTTCTTAAAACTTGATAATTATAATATAAAAGAATTTTTAGCTTCTAAAAATTATAATTATAATTTCTTCAAACTTGATAAAACTATAAATAAAAAGAAAAAAATATAATATTTTCATTTATAGTGTGAGTGTTAAAAGAGATGGGCTATTTATAAGGGAGGAGAGACATATGATAGTTGGACGGTATTTATGATAGTTGGATTTAAATGAAAGTCGATAATCATTATTTGTACTTTCTAACGTGATGTCAATTAGGATAAAACTCGAAAAGATACGTCTCATAATTTATGTCTTTCCACCGTGATGATAGTTCAGATAAAATCTTACAAAGACGTCTTTTATGGTCTGAATTTGTAAAAAAAAAATAAAAAGATGCTAGAAAAATAATATTTTAATAAAGAATGGCCGACATGTATATTTCCTTGTTAGAGCTATTTTTGGTTAAAAACGCCATTTAAAACAAGGGGTTTTGCTTGGATCGAAAGCAACCCCGGCCCCCTTCCGAAAGCAGACGAGCAGGCTTATATTTATTGGGTTTTTTTCTTCATTAAGTTCATCAGCAGGGTGGGGAAAAACTAATGTTTATCAATGTGATTTCTGGGTTCTTCTGACATCGTGGCAGAGACAGAGATGATAAAAGGGGAGTGACAAACAAAACATTGTGAATTTATGACGCTATCTGAGGCGCCTTGGTTGGGTGGGATTGTGTTATGTTTCAACCATAAAGTTGGAAGAGTAGCATCTTTTCATGGTGGGGATCAGTGCTCGTGTTTTTATTGTTTTGTCTGTCTAGTCTTATGAGAGACCAGGCTTATGTCTGAAATTATGTGTGCAAGGCTTCAAATCATGATATTCTTGGGGATCATGCATTTTGAGAATTAATGAGAATGAAAGAAAAGACTCGTGTTTTCGTTTTAACGGTGTCATAGCAACTTCAAATTTGCATAAAAAACAAAGGAATGGGGACCTGCCTTTGTTGCTTCATCATCATCATCAGACCAATTGTTGCATCTGAAACTTGTATTCTTCTCATAAAATCACTCGCAACAAATATATTTCCACCAGCATTTGGGGATAAATTGAGTGTCCACTTACTCTACTCATGGACCATCCCGTTATTTTTTGGCAAGCCTATTGAAAAGGGTAAGTTTCTGGTTCACTTTCACCCTAGATATCTGTGCTCAACCTTTTTGCATTGAAACCTCCCACTGGTAAACCAGCAGCGAGCCTTTAATAAACTCACCACCGGGAGCCATAATCTGGAACATGATAATAATACAAGGCTTCGCTCCCTTGGCAACTGAAAAAAACAAATTTTTTTGCATTTTTATTAGGACCATCTCAACAGATGTTCCTCTACAACTTCCCAACGAACTCGGAAAATATACTAATTACCTGCTGGAACTTGCAACAAAGATCAACGAAAAAATGATTGGCACGTACCGTTAATACAAAGTTAATTATATTTGGATTGGCACGTCGAGTTGTCGAAGATGGAATGTGTCTTGCATGCGGCTGTCAAGCTGGTTGTGAGTCAATACTTCCCTGGCTCGAGAACTTCTGTGTTGAAGGCGCTGGTGCAGTGTCTCTGACATTTGGTTAAAGAACTGATGATCCCATCTTCGAATCAAGGAAGGGTCCTCTGCATAACAGATGTAAATAGATGTAACAGCGCTTTCCACAACAACCATTGCGAGTCCCACCTGCACCAAGTGTAGACAATAATTTTTCAGTTCATTTTATTATTATTAATTATTAATTTATTATATTATTATTATTAAATAAAAAATAAATATTACAAACCCATTTTACAAGATCCCCGAGCCCATTTACAATTTGAAGCCCAACAGTGACCTAGAACCGGCCCAGACCAGATGGAAACCCTAAACCAATTTAGGGTTTCAGCTAGGGTTTTCAAACCCTAGCTCCCAGCCGCCGCTTCCAGAAGGCTCAAGCTGCCTCTCCAGCTTCCAGACGCTGCTGCTGACGCCTCCACTGCCAGATGGTCCAACCAGTCGCTGCCGACGCTGCTTTTGCCACGCCACCTCGCCGCCGTAGATTCCAGAACACCAGATGGCAGCCCAAATCGAGCTCCATGGTGAGTCACCAGCATAGCTATGGTGACTCACCTAGACATCCCTCTCGGGACCGGTCCAAACAGAACCTCGTGGTGGCTATAAAAGCCACCATACCTGCGAAAGAAAAGAAGAACAGACAGCCACAGAGAGACAGAGAACAAAATATAGAAAACAGAAAAAAAAAAAAAACGAAAGGAAGAGATAATCACAGCAAGCCAATAACCAGAAAGAAGAGGAAAAGGAGCATCTTACCATCGTAGAAGCCTTTAAATCGTCTGGAACCACCGGAATCATTGTAAAACCGAAGGTAAAACCTTCGATTTATTTTAGATCTAGAACGATCTAGAGCATTTTAGGACAACGGAGGCCATATTCGGCCTTAGAAGGTCGAGATCTATGCTCTAGAGTAATTTAGGAATTCCGGTCACCGTGAGCGGTGGCCGGCGGTGGCGATCGGCGCCGGAAACGGAGGCCGGTTTTCTCTTCCGGCGAGAGAAAACGAGAGCTTCTCTCTCTAAAGAGAGAGAAGCAAAACCAGAGAAGTGAGAAAGATGGCCCTTAGGGCCGGCTTAAATGGGTATAAATACCCTCATCAAAACGACGCCGTTTTGATGAGGGTATCTGTGTAATTTCCATCATGGGTAAACCATTTCCGCAGTCACTATAGTTTGTAATCCTTACGATTTAGTCACTGAAAGTAGTTTTTGATTATTTTAATTTGGTCTTCTAATTTTATTTTATTTTAATTTAGTCCTTATCAGAATATATATATATATATATATATATATTTAGGTAAATATCAAATTTAGTCCCTCATGGTTTATTAATTATTATTTTAATACCGATTTTATATTTTTTAATTTATTTTAATTTATTATCCAAATTTTATATAGTTTTATTTTAGTCACTAAATTAATAAAAAAAGAAAATAACATGTTTAAACCCTATAATTTTGATTAATTATGAATTAGGTTTTTAATTTTAATTTTACTATAATTTAGTCACTAATTTTAAATGTTTTCATTTATTTTACTGCTTTTAAATATATCATTCTAATGGTATTTTTATTGTTTTAATTGTTTATATATTTAAATATTTTTATTATTATTATATAGTCATAAATATATATGATAAATAATAATTTATATTTTTTTTAAATAAATTATTTTAATATTTTTCAATATCGAAGAAAAGGACAGTCTTAATATAACTGGATGTCCTATTCTGGTATTTTAAAATTAAATATTATTAAAAATTATTATTTAATTTTATTTAAAATCAATTTTATTAATATCAAAGAAAAGAGCTGTCTTAAGGCACCTAGAAGTTCTTTTCTAATATTTTTAAATAAATAAATAAATATTATTTATATAATTTTGAAATAATAGGATTATAAATTAAATATAGTTTTGAATTTTTAATTTTAATACTAGAGACAATTTATAATTAAAAAGTACCAATTTTGGGCGTTGTAGGGGTGCTAATCCTTCCCTAAACGTAACCGACCACGAATCCCTTTTTATTATTAAAAAGAACGAATTTTTGGTTAAAACGCAGATCAGTTTATCTTTTAATTGATGTTTTCTTAAAAACTCTTTTAAAAGATATTTTTTAGGTATTCGACTTACCTGACCCAAAAGGCCGATGGCGACTCCTAAATTATTTCCAAAACCATTTATTCACATCAATTTCACCGCCAAATAAATATTTCGTGCCCGGACGAAAACCGGTTACGACAGCTTGGCGACTCTGCAGGGGACTTGTCAAACTTTAAAATTAATTATAAATTGTCTCTATTAATTAGAAATTAAAAATTCATTTATTTAATTTTTAATTCTTTTCTTTCAAATTTTTTATTACTTATTATTTTTATATTATTTTATTAATATTTGTTTTCAGGTATTAATTATTTTATTTTTCTATCAGAGGTTTGAACATTTCTCCTCACACACAACACTTGCATTGCATAACATAAAGCTCTATAATTGAGTTTGTCCCTTTTAAGTGGGAGTGAAAGCGACGTCTTCGTGAGAATTTATTCTCCGTGTCAGACCTAGCAAGTAACTTTTGGGGTTCATATGCTCTATGTCTTCGTGAGAATTTATTCTCCGTGTTAGTCATAGAGAAATGTATCCCCTCGAATTGAACTCGATCCGTTTAAGTCTGTAATGGACTAGGATTGAGGGTTGACAGCCCAAGGGGGCACTAACAAGGATAATTCGAGTACCTTACTCCTAGAACTAAAACCCTACATGTAATAAAACTTAGAACTCCTCCTGATCTAAGACAGTACTGAACCTCTGTTCTTAGGTATACACAAAGGAGAAATAAAGCTTTAGCTTTTATTTTATTATTTTATGAATAAATGCCTGCGAATTAAAAATCATGCGGTTAGGTTAATTTTTCCAAACAAAGCATGGAACTAGAAATCATGAGGTTAGGATTTATTATATACCATGATAAATAAAATTTTCTTTCAATTATTTGGTATTAACCATTTTATTTTTTCTTATTTTCCCATGTATGTTATTTTTGCTCTAATTTGTTTAAATTATTTTCTTTTGTTTGCATTACATGATCATGACCAAAAGGTGTTAACTGAAAAGACTGTTCATCAAATTAGAAAGAAATCATAAATGAACAAAAAGTTCTATGATCAAACAAAATATGATGCGGCCAAGAAAAGACATCCTGAGGGAACTTTGAAGATAGAGAAGAGCTATTCACCCAAAGATTGTATGCCCATTGAAGAGCAAAAGGAAATACGAGAAATAAGAGAGCAGATGACCAAGATGATGGATAGAATATCTGTTTTGGCCAAAGGAAAAGAGATTCCAGCACAGAAAGAGAGAGAGCTCAATGAATCTAACTCTGCAGTTTCAGATACGCAAGGGATTTTGATTCCTAACCAATTAGAGAAATTACAGACAGTCATCATTCGTATTCACAAATCGTATGGAGATACCAAAGAAATGGTGACGACTGTACAAGCTCCCAGAGAAGAGAAGAAATCATGTAATCAGAAATCATCAAAGTTTGGTCTGCTCCCGACGTCTAAAACTCAGGTTCAATCCAAAACAAAAGGTGTTTCTCATGTTGATGCTGTACCTATATCATATAAAGATTTGTATGAAAAGTTACTTGAAGCACGAGAAATAGCTCCATATTACATAAAACCGTTCCAACCTCCGTATCCAAATTGGTATGACATCAACGTTCATTGTGAATATCATACCGGAGCTCAAGGACATACTATCGAAAATTGTCTTGCCTTCAAACGCCGAGTCCAAAGTCTTTTGGATCATGGAACCTTAAATTTTATGGTAAATGATCGACCTGGTTTGGTAACCAAGGGTCCTGATAGATTAATACCAAAAATCTTCAAAGGTAAGAATATCAGTAGGGGCACCCAGAGAGAAGAAGATTTGCTGAGGTGTGAAGCTCAAATACGTCATTTGAAGATTGAAAACAATAAATTGTGCACCAAAATGGAAACCATACATGAAGACTTCCAGAAGGTCAGTCAAGCTTTTCAAAATGCTGGAATAGGAAACACCCCAGAAGAGTGGATATCAGGGGTCACTAAACTGAAAAAGAGTTGCAGCATACATGAAGATCTTCTCCAAAAACTTTTTGAACACAAATGTTCTCTCGCAAAGGAAAATGATCAACTCCAAGAATTAACATAGGTGATGAAAGAACCCCAGAATGTCATGAAAGAAGCTGCAGTCCAGACAAGCAATATGGCCCATAAGCTGATAATCTAACTTGGTTTTAGAGAAGAAAATGGGAAAGTTATTCCCTATATGAAAAGTTTTGTTGAAGTTAGGATTAAAAGTTGTCCCCTACATGTAAAAGTTTTGTTTGATGTACTGAAGCTTTTGTGTTCAATGAAATCTGTTCTAAGATGATCACTCTTAAGTAACACCTTTTCATACATGCATTTACATTTTGTATCTGTGCATTTTCATTTTGTATTTTTATATTTATGAATTGCACATTTTGCATTCTTATTTTTCTATTTATGCATTTTTCATATTTTTATTTAATTACTGTCATGTACTTTAATTATAAAAACATATAAATAATTCATGAAAGGTTTCTGTAACAGTAAAAACCAAGATCATTCATTTATTTTACTGTACCATCATCATGAAAACAATGGAGCAATCTTATGAAGGACTACAAAACCATTGGCCAGAACCATTGACAGGGTTACCTCGGGATACAAGGAAAGAAGTTTCAGATTCAGTACCAGATGGATCAGATCAAATTATCCAAGGAATGGAATCTGATAAAGAAGATACAACTGTTATAGAGAAATCGTGCTATCAGATTGAAGAGTCGAGAAAGATAACATACCCTAGGGCATCCCACTCAAACCCAAAGAATAGCCTCATTAATTATTCACAATATGAGGATAAAGTCAAGAGGACAGAGAAAGCAATCAGAAACATGAAAGATGTTAGTGCCTACCACAAAGAATTAGAAGCAAGAGAGCTTAGCTTAGTTTCAGATTTAATTATTCCCCATGAATTCAAAATGCCTGATTTTGAGAAATATGATGGCACCAGTTGTCCCTTAATCCATTTGAGAATGTTTTGCAGAAAAATGGGAGGATATTT